TAGCTTGTGATTAGAAGACTTGTCTGATTATGTTCCTGTTTCATTTGCAAAAAGTACAACGTCATAGGGTTTGGAAGTGAAAACATTTTCTAACGTTATTCTTTAAAGAGATCTATATAAACCCCAGAGTATGACTGAGTCTGAACCAAAGAATATTAGGCAATATCTAGGTCACAAAAGATGAAGTTCACAAAGATGTGTCTGCTCCACAATATATTAGATACATTTGCTTCTTATCACAAAAGAGTTTGTCAGGTCTCTAAACAAGTCATTTCGATAAGGTCAAAGTCAAGGAAATTGGTGTAAAGCCCATGTCTAATCCAGAATCGATATAATTAGTTATCATATGATTGAAGAAACTAATATTTTGATACAAAATACATGTATTTGAAGATCACATAGATTTGCAATACTGTGGTGAATTACTAGTAAATTGTTGTTTTAACGTTTTCCACTGGGATATGTCTACTCTGGCTAAACCTATCCACATTGCACCACGGACTACGTTAAAGGGATCATGTTCAATTTCATGCATTGTCAGGAAAAATAAGGGGGAAAGTCTAGTTTTTTATGCGTTTTGAGCTCTTTTGTAAAATCTACCACCATTTCACCGGATTCACATACATTTTTATCCTACTTATTAGCATAAATCAAGCTGGTTTTTAACGAATTTATTCAAATCAGGTATTGTAAAACGTGGAATATGAGCATGGGCAAGTTGCAGAACGTTTAGATACAAGAAAGGGATTTCAGTTTGCATACTGTTACAGAAACTGATATTAACATGGCCTCGAGGAGAGGAAACGGTGTTAGGTGTTTCTTTGAAGCGTTTTCAATTTATTAATCAATGTGAAATAAAAAAAAAAATATCGTGTTTTATGTAACATTTATACTTTTTTATCAGTTACAATTTAAAGTTCGTGATTCCTTCGTCATTTTTTGGCAGTTTATTGTAACTCTTTTTGGACACCTATTAAAGGATGGGACATAAAGTTTCGCATTTCTTTTGTTATCTAAATGAAACACAATGACTTTCATCGATAAAAAAAAAGTTGAGCAATTTAATTTCTGCAACTACTTTTGGAACACTTGATCTCTGATTTATAATGAAACTTGGTTCATTATTTTAGCTTGATACCATATATATATATATATATATATATATATATATATATATATATATATATATATATATTTTAATTTTCTATAACAACACTCTATTTTCAGTCCCGTAGAACACGGGAGGGGGGCTTTTTTCTGAGTACACTGGTTTTATGAATAGGAAATTTTCATTTAGATGCTTGTTGCTGTAAGGTCGCGCACTGTCAAGTTCCAATCAATCAATCAGTTTATTCACTCAAACCATACAAAATGGTACATGAGGTACATAAAGTATAAATCATATCTATTAAATCGTCAGAGGTACATACAACACATATATACATAAATAAATATTTTACAACTGCATGTAAAAGAATAGACATATAGTATTAACAGTATGTATGTATTCAATGCAAAGAAAAACGCCAGGAGGGCAATTAAGAGGAGCAGACAGTCTCGAAGATTTTTGAAATAAATGTACAAAGTTTTCTTAAAGATTTATCATTTGAATTTGCCATGAGTTCATAGAACTTTACAACATTTAGTCTACTGCAGTAACTACTATATAAAAATTCTTTCCTAATTTCTGAAAAAGCTGTACATCCTAAAATGTAGTGGTATTCAGCACCTATTTTTCCATTGTTACATAGTAAACATATTCTTTCATTTAGTGGGGTGCCACACCATCTCCCTGTTTCTACAGGTAGATGATGATTTGAAGTACGCATTTTCATCAATACCTTTCTTTGTTTTGGGTGTAATTTTTTAAAATAGCTTTTAAAGTTCCAGGATTGGCAGTTAAGGGGAGGCTTTTTTGGCTTGTCGGATTATTTTGGGCCTGACGTCCCCGACTTTTTGGACAGTGTTTTTTTTTCTTTTTGCTTGTCAGATATTTTTGGGAGGTTGCCCCCCCCCCCCTCACTTTTGAAACCGTTGCTACGGGTCCGATTTTAAATAAGTTTCGAACTTTTTGAAATTTAGATTTCTAGACGACACCATCGCCTTTTAATATTATTTTCTATTAAATGTACCTATACAGAAATGTGCTCAGTAAAATAGATAGAAACAGGTAAAAACATAGAGAATATTTTGGAAATCCTTTTAGGTTTTATTGCTATAACAACCAATTAATATCACATTTCTAGCTTAAGCTATGTTACAAGGATTTTATTCTATCATTTGGTCACTTTTCAACTTATTTTTGCTTTTATTTTTTTAATAAGTAATCGAAATATATGAATAAAATTATTGTTTTACAATAATTCGTTTCTAAGGTTGCATACGTGTATATAACAGCTGTTTTCCTTAATATTTTTATCATTTGAAAAAGCCATCAAGTCTTAAACTTTTGGAAACAGTCAATGTCACTTTAAGTAGTACATTATTGCAAACGTTAGAAATCATAATGGTCGGGACTATGAACATGTTCAAAAATGCTATTTTTCAAACTTAAGAGCATGTTGCCATGGTACCATAACGCACCAATTTTCTGTGATTAAAGTTTCTCCTATAAAAGTATTAAGTGATAACAGAGAATGGCTCTTAACCAATCTCCCTTGCAGAGTTGGCGTTCGTTCCTCTCCCCCCCCCCCCTCCCCCGGCAATGCGCTCGCGTCAAGACTTTTGATAGAGAGTACAAAAGATGAAAATCCATGGATTGTTTCAAATTAAACCAAGAGTTCTAGATCTACTTAATAAATGTCCTCATTAAAGAACAAACATTAAAGCAAGCATTTGATAATAATGAATTACAACGTAACAAAACACACTATTTATCGTGCTAATCACTTTGATATACGCGAGCCAATGCCATAGGTAAATGTATGACTTGATGATAGAGAGTGGCTCTTAACATTCAACTCAAGATGTACACTGAATTAAGTTATATCGATTTTTTTCAAGGACATTTGAAGGTCACTGCCTAATCCCGATATATGTTAGATAGAAATTCCCCCAAAGGTGACCAAATTTTAATGTGAACAATCATAGCTGGTTAGTATGGTGGCATATTTCTGCCCCCTACATGCAAGATAAATTATGTGAACATGCAACATAATTATGTAGACATGCGACTTATTTATGTCAACGTGCAAAATAATTATGTTGACATGCAAGTAAAGATAGGTAGTTCCTAGGTATTATATTTATTGATTATAAACGATTGTAAATTTTAGAAAACAGTGAGATGTTTGAGATTAAAATTTGAATTTGCATTTTATTAGTCAAACACATCACCTTGTGAGCTACTTGTACTTTTTATTTAGTTCTGCAACTGTCAGCAAGCTTGAGCAATCTGCCATGCAGAGCTGTCGTTCGTATGAGGCTATGGTACATCAAATGGTAAGCAAGATGGTTACTGTGGTATTTAATATTCACAATAATGACTAATTTTAATTTATGATATTATGTTGCTACATTAGAAATACTAATCATCGACAGTGATTTTTGACTTACAAGTGTGGTGTTGTATCATCACCGTATTTATCTGGATTTTACAGATTGTCGGGTGCATTCTAATCATAGACAAAGCTCACCCCCCCCCCCCCCAAGAAACCCAGATAAACACAGGGGCTTTAATCTGAATACATTTATTATTTGAAAGGGCATTAAAGTTAGATATGCTTGCCAAAATTGAAGACTTCACCTACTACATGTACATGTACGGTTCAAAAGTAAAAAGACGAACTATTCAAGTGTTTGCAGGCTCACAGGAAGAACAGACGGGACAGAAAGAGTACTCTGGGACACAAATCTTCGGGAAAGTAATAACTTTTTTATGAAACGCGTTGCAAGGTGTTATTTGGTGGCTATGACAAATTAGGTTGTAGGTCTTTAAAAATGATCACTTCTATTCAAAAGCTGGGAAAAAGTCGGTCAAAGAATTTATTTGAATCTCTTGCTATTCATCGTTTTGAGAAGAATGTACATTTATTTTCCTATTTACATATTTTTTGAAAATGATAAGGAAAATTTATTCATTTAAGTTAAATATCTCTCTTCTACAACTTCAAATTTGTGTTCTAGAAAAAAAAAGAAACATTAGTGGTGATTTATATAATTTCTATTTTTCAGTCAAATTTCTTCCTATAAACAGACACGCAACAGACCGGGAGCTTTTTATTGGTTTATGTACATAAATTATACGGCATGCAGTCAGTCGCGTGCGGAACGAGAGCTGGGCGTGATCTCGTTCACAGAGGTAGGCGGAGACAGACACCTGAGTATGAATGAAATACCACACAGGTAAAAGAAAAAAAAAGCACATTAATGACATTCAGAATGGTAAAGATTTATCTGTTTTTCAACTTTTGTAACGATCCAGTTTTTTTTTCCACTTCAGTCAGCTTAGGTAGTGAGATTTTACTTTTGCCTTTCATTAATGAATAAAAAATGAAATAATTTTTTGTATACATGTATTTATTTATTTGATTTTAATATCTTAAAATTAGTGCATAGTTAAACAAGGTCTCAGCTTTTCTTTACAGAATGGGAGAGGGTAAGGACAGGGCATTCAGGTTACCATTAAGAGTATATCGTCTTTTAATTATCATCTTACGTACGATATTTATTATATACACACCGTATTCCATTATGCTTATACATGTATATAACACCAACGATGCCCCCCCCCCTTTTTTTCTTCCTAGTTCCAGCTGGCTTTTACAAATCTGCAATGCGCAATGACTTATTCACATCTTCAGATCATTGCAGCCAAATAAAGGTTGTCTCATACAGGGAGTAAGAAAGCTTGGAAATGCTTTTTCAATATTGATAGACTTCTATCCCAATAACTTAAACTATTGTTAATTTCTACCTTTCAAACAAAAGAACCTTTAGCACTAAGTGCAGAATAAATCACAAAGAAACAATTTTTTCTCAGTATTTTTATTTCAACCTTCGTAAAAATCGTCATTTCATATGTATACAATGTATATATAACAAAAGGAAGAAGATATATGATCCTGATATCAAGGTTTTTAATTATGTACAGCCACAAATTCAAGACTTAATTGCCACAATCCATATAGAATGTGGGTTCATTTTTTTTAAAAGTACTTCCGGGTTACATACAAGGAGCCCGAGCATATGTCATCAGCAATTTTCTTCAAGCAAGACGTACTTTTTCCAAATTTTTCGTTTAATTTCAAATGATCGAACTTATAAAACCTTGAATCGAAATCTATACCTATCTCCAAGTAACCATTTTGTGTGTACAAATGCATTCAATATTATTGCCAAAAATAACAAGCCTTTTACATGTACACGTGTATTCGGTGTAAAATAAAATATCTAAAAACCGTATTCAGACTAAATAGAAGTAAAAACTGTATACTATTGCATAACTGAAAAAAAAGTCTGAACACAACATAAAATGTATTAGAATACATAAAATATTTAGAAATAATTAAAAAATATATATGTAAATGTAATTAACACATAAATATTTGAACACTTGATATGAACACAGTTTGGATTTCTCTCGTCCGTGACAACATTTTTTCAATGTTTGACATTTCATAAATGCATGAAATCTTTCAGAAAATTTCAACATATTGTATAAGGAACATTCTTTAATGTACATAGGTATTACACTGCTGGACTGTGAAGTCATTTAAATCTTGCTTAGAAATGTGTTGTTTGACAATTAATCCTCCCTCGCTTATTGTATTTCACTTTAATGCACAAAAAATGTCAATGTCGGGAAAGTTTTGCTGTATTTTTTTCTATACTTTACCATTGGTCAGCGAGAACATGCATCAAACACTGAGGATGGAATCGTCACTGTATCTGCCTAGTAACTGTTCTTGTTGGTTAATAACGTCACATGTCTCTGTTTTGTACGGTTTTAGTTTAACATTTTTTGGATCTTCCCCCTCAGAGATTTCTTTCATGAATGAAATATACGTCATGGCCAGCTTTAGTGTCTCTATTCTGGAAAGTCTTTTTTCGTAATTAAATGCAGGAAGCCGTTTTCGCAAATCATCGAAGGCGGTGTTCAGGTGGAACATCCGTTTCCTCTCTCTGACGTTCGCTGCTTTTCGCTGAGATTTGGACTGTACTCGCTTTCTTTTCGGTTTCCCATCTTTACCTACGGGTTGTTGACTGGAAGTTGCAAGATGAAGCCCGTGTGCATTAACTTCTCCTATCCCACTACATTGGTTAAAATCACTGATTGTGAAGTCAGTAGACAATTCACTAGTCCAAGTCGTTCCAGATTGTAAATACTCATTTTGTGAAAGCGGAGAAATTCCCATGAATGCAGGATGTTGTACAATATCCTCTGTAACAATCGGACCTTGCTGCCACTCGGGATACATTGGATACGTTCCATCTTGGAAGTGAATGGATGGTGCAGACACTGGATAGAAAGATTCTTCGTATCCGCTCTGGTTTGCTAGGTCAGCATCTGCAAACTCCATTATTCCTTAAATTATCTTATATATTTTGGATGTTGTAACTGGGCTATAAAAGGAATCCCCCAAACCTTGTAGTACGATAAAGGATGGGGGAATGCTACCAGGACTAAGATGTTGGTCAAATTTATATCCTTAGCGCTAGGGTTACCTGAGGAGCGACACCATAGTCCCCTTTTGAAGTTGGCAACAGACAAGGCCATTTTTATTGGCTTAAAATAGTAGAGAACGGATTCGAGACAGCCGCGCGTGCAAGGGGTTGAGCATAGTGTACAACACGCACTCGGAGGCGTGGCTAATGCGCAGAATGCGACAGAAAAACTCGTTGATAGACAGCTTTGAAATTTTTTTTATTTATTATTACATGAAAGTCAACACCTCCCGCAAAGTCGAAGAGAACTAGAATCGATACATCCGGAAGACGAGACGATTCAAGCCTAACCTTTTAATCCCCACGTAATATTCTATTACTCCACTGCGGTGCAAAGAACACAATGGCGAGTTGTGTGTCTTTTTAGCGAAGTCCGCGAGAAAAAGATCCGCAGTTATAACAGCGTAATTAGATGAAGAAAAGGGAGCCCGCGGTGTGTCTTTGGTGTGTCAAATATTGGTGGCTTTTTATTTGCACTTTAATGAAGCAGAACTAAGCTAATTGACTACTGAGAGTCACTTTGTAATCCTTAATGATCCTTCATTGACTAGTATTATACAGTGGAGAAATACAGACTGGCAATCAAATTCATATTTTTAAACCAAGGTGTTTGTATATTAAGCATTGAATTTTTCCCGTTTGATGTTTTTAAAAAAATTATTTCTTCTCTTTTTAATCTAGACTAGTGCTTTCTTTCATTTTTGAAATTATTTTACGATAAAAGTGTTCAAATCAAATTAGTTTTACCACATAGATGTAAATATAATTATTAAAATGAATCTCGCAACTTGCCATAAGCGTAGCGTTATTTTATTTTAGTAAATACTAGTAAAATTTGTTTAAGAAATCATAACGTAATTAGAGAAATTTTGTCTAACTTTTTTTTTCTTAAATATATATACATAAATTATTCTCAATGAAAAGTGTGTCATTCTGATTAGCATCTTTAAAAAAAATGAACAAAACTGCATAATAGAGTGAAAAAAATCTTGGATATTTAGCTATATATTGACCTCACAATAAGTTTTATATATATATAAAAAAAAAAAGGTCTCCATTGAACTATGCAGTGTTAAAAATAAAATTATGGCTCACTTGTGGCCATATACTCAGTACTGTACACATATAATGCAATTTTCTCAAATCATTTCGAATAGTTGCTTATCTTTTTTGCGTGTACATGTATTGAATTCGCTTATGCAAAACTGATGCACACATGCATGTTCTTAGATACATGTATATGTAATTTCACAAGTTCGTAGACCCTTTCATTAAAAAGAAACCAGTCATCTCCCGTGAAATGTGGAAATATTTAATAAAAATACATTCAATTTCGTTTAAAGAAGATTGATATTATTTTTGCATATGCATCGTGTGCATCAATCAAAGCAAAATTAACCACCATCAACTCTCTCTCTCTCTCTCTCTCTCTCGTATTCTGATAATTATTTACATGTACACCTGGGACAGGGCACTTTAATAACGGTTTTTAAACTTAATTTTTACATTTCCGTTGCTGTAAAATTGAGTCTTTTTCACATTTGTATGTATTTTCTGCAGATAATTGAATTTGTGTGTCAAGAGCGTGTCGAATTAGGAAACACATTGAACAGTTATTGCAAAAATTTAGAGAGAAAAAAATCCTTGTAACTTACGAAAAATAAACTTTATTCACAAGGGAAATTGTGAAATTTTGACAAGTACAGAAAATCATAGAACACAATAAGAAAGTTGAACTAGCGTTCGAAGTGATTGAAATGGCTGACTTTCAATCTTTGAACCTTGGGGATTAAAGCGTAATCCTCTTGTAGGTTCCCCCGCGTTATATACGCTTAGTTTGGCACTCAATAGGGCATTAGAGGGGTTAATTTTTCCCTAGTTCCGTGGTGTGGTCGAATTGCACTCTCAAAATAACGTGATTTCAACCAGAAAAGAAATGCAAATACTCAGAAAGGATTTTCTCGTGCAAAATCTTTAAATTACCATTAGCCTAAATAATTCTGATATACTTATGAATATTTCATTTGAGAAAATTCTGAAGTTTAATAGTTAATAAATTTATTGCAGATTTTTACATTATTTGTGTCATTTTTGCTACCGTTTCATCTATTTTTATCTGTCATTTATTGCAAAATTTTAAATGTAGTTTTTTTTAAACATACACGTAAATGCATTCAGCATTCCTACATGTAACTCTCCAAAAGAAACTCACACTAATAAGTGTTATATTCCAAAACAAAACTACCCTATAACAGAACATCATCAGACTCCATGCACGATTGGTAAAATTTATCCCCGCCTTAAGGGGAGAGACTCTCTCTCTCTCTATCTCTCTCTCTCTCTTAAAATGTGAAGGAAACAGGCTGATATTTTGAAAACGTGACCAAAAGAGAGAATTGAAAATTACAAGCAGGCATAAGAGAAGACAAAACATTTTTTAAAAAAATAGTTTTTCTTGAGGATTATCCTGCCATTTGTGGATTCAAAAACATAAATCAATTTTAACAATTTTCTGTTCCAGGAGAAAAATTAATTATTTCGCCTGCAGTTTTTGGCAGAAACATGAGCGGGCCACCGTCTCCCTTGACCGGAAAAGACAGGTGCGAGCCGAGGAAGAGAAGGAAATCCAAAAGTCAGTTAACTTCTTTAATACCCAGTCAATAATTTCAAGAAATGTTCAAACAAAATCCCCCGAAACGAAGTGAAATTTTCGTGATTTATGGCTTTCACAACTAGCGTAGTATATTCCCAATTAAAAAGATATCAATGCAAGGCGCGTTATTGTACCGGTGAAATTTGAGGTGACGTAACTCAGATCGATTTTTATTTATTAATTCCCGTTAAGTCGACTGTATTGCCAGGAGCATGCGTTTCTTTCATTTTTCTCTCTTCTACAAAATTAAACTTTTTCTATGTCTATAGGCCCATCTTCTGTGATAACTTTGATCAATTCCGGATTTATTCATTCCAGAGTTTCTTCGTTAAAATCAGCAAAACTTACCCTCAAATATCTTTTAATCAAAGAGAAATGAAACAGACGCTTCATATTATGCCTTAGGTATATTAGAAAGAATAAAGCGAAGTAACCCTGTTTTCACGTACCTCCGTCTATTTTTAATAATAATAGGATAAAGGTTTATTCCTTTATTCACTGTAGGACTTTCGCGCCCAGAGAAATCATATATATTATTTTTTAATTTGTCATGTTTTAAAGAGAATGTGTAGTTAAACAATTAATATGTAGTTTAAATTCCCTAAATTCATATGAGTACATTTTATATGACCAATTTTAAAGAAAAATGACCGGTGATGCTGACAGATAAATTTATTCAAGAAATAAATGTACACTGAATTAGACGACACTAATGTTAATGCACATTTAGCAGGTGTCAAAATCGCGCTGAACGTGTGTAAACCATTAATGGACATCACTAGGTATGCTAATTGTTATTTCCATTCCCACCATAACGAAACATAAATTAGAAAAAATTTTGCAACTGTCAAACTTCTGGTGCTGACAGTGGCGATGTGTCAGATAATATCCGGGGGAATGAAGCACAACGGACATAATGTACAGTTGAAATTCTCATCTTGCATGCATTTTTTGGGGGTCATCAAAATAACTAAAGTTGATAGTGGAAGGTTTTATTTTTTAATTTTTCTGTTAGATATTAAATTATTATTATTATTATTATTTTTAAAAAATCCATTTGAAAACCACGCAAGTGGCGGATATCATTTTACGAAGGTATATACCTGTGATTACAAGATACATCGCGGAGATTGCTCAGTCTGGCTTGTGAACTTCGCATGAAAAGTAGTGTTACCAGCTGTTCCCTTTTTCGTCCTGTAAAAATTGAGTTTACGTTATCATCTGAATTTGTTTTATTTATAAAAATGTATTCGCTAAAAATCTTGAAGTTTCTTATTACATGTTTATGTATAGGAAACATTACAAAACTTAAAACATGTTATCAGGCATATGAATGAAACATCCTTGTGAATTTTCTAGTTGGCTATTGATGACAGATCCACAATAAAAATAATTAAGGTTTATCCAAGTATCTGAGAAAAAATACATATTTTTTCATACTTATGTTGTACTTTAATTCTTCTATTAACTTTAGTTCTTATGTGTAAGTAGCATGCAATACCATTGCGAGAGATCCCAGATCGTTGCCAGTTTAATTTCATAATTATGAATAATTTGCACACAAGCGAGTTTAGAGAAAATTTAATTGATATCTCTTAAAATTATCTTGTTCAGTTTTGTACTTTTTACCTATTTTCATGTCCGTTTCAAATAAATGACTTCAAACTTCATTGGATCATATAATTTAAAATTAACCCCCCATCCCCCCTACCCCCACCCCACAAAACCTTCCAATTTTCGTATATACTGTTATTATTTGGGTGTTTATTTATTCCTTTAGTATTAATTGACATTACACAGTTACAATAGCCCGTAGGCTAAGACTTATACATGTAACATTTGTGTTAGAAAAAGGATTTAATTAAAAAGGAATAAACGAATTCATACATGTAAAAGATCCTTAAAACTATAACCAAAAAGGAAAAGGATTTTTAGGATGATCATGATTTATGTAACATCAAACGTTTATTTCTTTACAGTATATATTATAAATTTGTTTTTAGACGGCCTACAAATGACTGCGTAATAAAGGTCGGGATCGAGATTCACAATATATAAAATGACGTTGAGAGGGTAAACATCAACAAAAGATCTGAGGAATTTTGTCATTTTACTGTATAAATCAGTTAGTATTTCATCATTTTACGATGACCGTAAGTCAGTTCAATGAGTGTACTACATTTATATGCGTTAAAAGTATTTCTTATCGATGTATGTTTTCGGGTTAACATGGTTAAAGTAAATTGTATTGCATTCAAGTAACATATTTGCAGTTATCATGGTTATGCATTTCTAAATCAAGCCATTTTTCCTACTAAAGATTTTAGCTATATCTGATCTTAGTTACGTCAACAAATATTCAAAGGAAATACCCCGGATTTACTGCTCTCCACCACCCCATTACGCTGTTTATTAATCAAGCCCTACCCATGTACATGTACATACAATGTTAATCTCGGTGGAGATTTGGCTGGGCTAGATATTTGGTCTGACGCCCACCGGTGGGCGTCAGACCAAATATCTAGCCCAGCCGAATCTCCACCGAGATTAATACAATGTATGTAATGATTTGAAGCGTGGATATCGGCCTAGGACTAGTTATGCTGGGGTCCACTCCCGGGTTCGATTCCCGTTCCAGCCATACATTTTCTCCTTTCCTGTTACATAATTGGTGCTGTTGAAACCCCTGGTCTTGTAGGTGAAAGTCCTACCAGGGGCAAAAAGAACATGGGTTGTGTTTTTGGAGGTGAAGGCAAATTAAGGAGGGAAGAATACAATGGTTTAGGACATGGATACTGGCCTGGGTAGCTCAGTTGGTAGAGCATCTGACTTGTGATGCAAGGACCCCCATTTCAATTCTCAGTCCAGTCAAACATTCTCTCCTTTCCTGTTACTCATATAATAATTTGAGATGATAAAAAGTAAAAAAAAATAACCAACACTTTTTCCTGGAAATAAAGACACCTTTTATATCTGGCACCCTCGTAAAGATTTTCATCCTATAACCACATTTTTGGATAAATTCATGTGTAAATCTTTCAGTCAAATTAAAATTGAAATATTGTTTGTGCATCATTTAAGTTACAAAATGCAGTGAACTTGCAGTCATTTTTCATACTGGCTTGTTCTTGGAGGAATTTTTAAATAACGTTAACTGAAGCAGGTACTTTTTATTTGTACTTTAAAGGAACACAACTTAAGAAACTAAATTTAATGTAAAAAGGAAAAAAAAACCACTTTCAATTATTAAGAGAGGCACAGGATTTAGATTTTTATGGCCCAGAGTAAAATATAAGCAATATGTTTAACTTCAGTAAATGAAATGCTGCATTTGTGCTATGACTTCTTATAAATGTTTTCTTTGTTTTAGGGTTGAAATTATTTATATTTAAAACATGAGCAATCCAAGCTGGCCAAACAGAACTATGGACATCAAACCATTTATGACCAAGTACACATCTGATGATTCAGGTCAGAGCTTTAATTATTTATAGATGATTCTTTATTGCCTACTGGGAGAGTGTGTATATATTTAGCATATTTAAGTTAATGAAATTAATACTGTGGAATCATTTTAATTTGTGGGGGTCAAGGTTCATAGCCAAGCAATTTTATTGGTTTGTGGGAATGTAGTTTTTTGGGGTCACTCGTATAAACAGAAGATTCTATGTATAAATATGTTGACAAAATAATTGTTCGTGGGGATGTAAATTCGTGGATAAGGGTGACCCACGAAATCCACGAACATTGGTCCCCTCAAACATTGATGATTCTACAGTATGTCAAAAAATAATAATGATAATAATTTTTCATTTTACGTTATAAGAGAGTACTGAATACATGTATCACAATTAGATTTGATGTCTGTCTTGTAGAACATGCAATATGTATGTACATATGTTTATCGTTCTTGGTTTCCGCAGATAAATTACAACTAAGAGCAAACAATGGAATCCGGAGTAACAAGTACCTACCTGTAGATTATGAAAAACTCAAACTTATGGCAACAGAGAAAAAATTTGCAGCACAGAAGAGTCTACTTAAAGTGAAGAAAATTGAACAAATGTCTAAACAGAGTAAAGAAAACCTTCTCTTAAAACAACACAAACTAGTCTGGCAGAAGGAATTTATGAGGCTGAACAACTTACGTAAGCGGATTCAATCAGAAGTTGAGAGTCACCGCCGACAGAACGCCACAGAAGGAAGTGGTTGCTGCCGAATTTTTGAACACTTTGATCTCTTTGAATCATCTTTAGATGAGGAGTTTGTTAAGTTTAAGCAGAATACCTGTGAACCAGTGTGGAATTTAAGGTATAATATCAGTAATGCTTGTTGTATGAGTGTGGAGGTGCCATCTTCTTGAAAAAAGTAATATCTTTTAAAAGTGTCAAGTAAAATGACATTGATGTCAATACCCCTTTATAATACAAACAGGCAGTGAAAAACAATGTAAAATACACATAAAATCAACTGTGAAATGAGATTTTCAGTGAATTTAGAAAGAAGTATCACATTCTTTGACACTCTAGGGGTGGGATCAGAAAATCAATGTCTGATGAAAGACTACATATGTATATTCAAATTGTGGTGGTGGTGGGGGGGGGGGGGGGGGGGGGATAACAAGCCCCAAAAGTTTTGTTTTGTTGGACGTCAATAATTACACAAAAAGTGATAACTGTACACAATACTTAATTTTATTGGTATTTGAATTGAAAAAGGAAATATGTAACTTAAAGTATAATGAATCCTAAAACTATATTTTTAGAGAATCAACATTTATCACAGAGTTTTGAAGGGGATGGGAGGTGGGGTTCTTTATGAAGACTTATAAGTGTATTATTTCTATAATGAGCCTAATTCTTATGATAACACTTTTGATGATTGGATTCCTGACTTTAAATACCTACTGAAATCAAGTGTAACCTGTACAACAGGGAAGACTTACAGTTTTGGATACAGGACAACCACGAAGGAATCAGGTTGGGGGATCCAGAAGTGGTGGAGAAGCATGCTGAGATCCGCCAAACGATAAACCATGTCAAAGGTCAACAGAACAGTGTCCTACAGCAGCTGTACAATGAACAAAAATGTCTGGAGGGGGAACTACAAACAGGTATGAAGTAATCCAGAATTAGATCAACTTGTCTTACAGGAAGGGTAAGGGACATTTGAGTCAGTGTAAGTGCACCTTTTCTGAAGATTTGGGGCAACTTTTAGCTCATGCTGTTCTAGACTGGGTGGGATAGTTACCACTTTATGTTAATCTCTTGGGATTGAATGAAGCAACAGTCAGGTACATGTACAAATACAGTAGACCATGTTCAACTCACCTTTTGGAAGGTGGGGGTTCAGATTAGGGGTGGGGTGGGGGGTTAAAACGACTTTTATAATCAGAAACAGACCTAATTTAGTTTACATTGTTTGGTAGTGGTAGGAGTGTGTTGAGGAAAGGTACAATCAGATACAAAATTGTTCTAATTTAGATCAACTCAGTAAAATCATTGAGACCTTAAATCAGCTAAAACAATTAAAGTTTTGGAGATGATCTGTGTTATGTTTGGAGATTCTATATTAATTTATTAAATGTAGTACTTCTTTTCCTTTAAGGATTTCTGTGGGAAATAACTCATGGTGGATCAGAGACACCTCACATTGACTTTGCAGAGGGGATTCCTGAAGAAGCATTTGACCTTGAATGTTCAGATGATGAACTCAAGGTCACAGTGTTACAAGAATTCATTATTATTGATCAGAAATTCAGAGAGAGACTTCACTTCCTAGAAGATGAACATTCCAAGATATTAAGGTATTAGGATATTATTTTAGATAGACAAAACATAACCATTATTACTAGGCTGTTCATTTCATTAAGTAAAAGCTTGATAGATAGAAATGCTATATAACTTTTAAATATGCAGGTGAACAATTTTACTTATTTTTCTTTGACATAAGGTTTAAATTAAGAATTCAGTCTTTGAATGCTTACTGTATATGAATGAAGTTTTAAAGAATACATATTATTAACTGTTTCTTGAATTCCTGACCTACATGTATGCTAATTTATTGAAAATTATCTTCAAGTTAGAGTTATTTCCCCCCATACAGTATTTTTATGTGACAAAGGATAATGCTTCAGGATGTAAAAAAAGGGGGGAAACACAGTTATTTTCATGATTACTTTCACTTTCCATATATTCCTGAAATGAATTTTGTTGTCTACAGTAAAGGTCTACATGGGGGCTGGAGTGATGAGGATCATTTCTGTTTTTTGGCAAATTACGAACAATATCCTAGGGAACTCAATAACAGGAGAAAGCTGATCCTAGACAGACTGAGGCGCCACCTACCACACAAAGCCAGGCATGAGCTCGTAGGTTGTCTCAATTACAGTTGTACTAGAAACCTTAGTAAAAATGTACTAGAAACGTACACTTCATTCATTAGTAACGTTAGAACTAACATGTATTTAATAAATTCTTTACTAAACAGTAGAAATGATCACAAAAATTTTTATTTAAAAAAGAGACTTTCTTCTTATGTGACATTCCTCGTTAAATTATTTTTAATTTACCAAGAAATTATTTGTAATATAGTAATGTACTCATAAATTTATGTTATATGACATAAGTTTTGGTAGAAAAGACTGCTATTACACAAACTCAATAAAACATTCAATCAGCATGAACCATTCCCTGTGTATTTATATGATAATTATAGGTTGCACATGAGGAATGGTGTGAGGCAAACAAGTATTTTCATGAGCGTAAGCGAGCACTGGTGGTAGCATGGAGGAAGGGTCGAGCCGAGCTCCTTAATAAAGCTCGCAGTACATTTATTGAGGTGGAGATTGCTAAAGAGCTGGCGGAAGTAAAAGCCGAGTACAACCGACAGCAGAAAAAGATCCGAGACGAACTTTACGAGAAGGTAAATGGATGATGAAAATGTTTTTATTTGGAAATAGGAAATCTTATCTTTCATGATATCAGTAAAAGAAAAAAATGAGGAAATATGAGTACTGCTTAATATTAAAGGAAAAGCAAAAAATCTTTAACATTATAAATGTACCTGATAAAAACTGAACAATTAATCAATGATTGATTGATTTTTTCATCAGATCAGACAGTGGAGAGAACAGAAAATGGAAGCCATGATGTTACAACAGAAGATTGATGAGAGAAAGAGAGAAGAAGTTCAGGAGGAACTCAGACTTGAGATGGAAAGAGAGAAGAAAAGACGAGCTCATGAAAAAGATCAGGTCTGTTATAAAGGGTTCAAGGGGTAGGGAAGGGATTCTCAATCAGCAGAGACTCATATAGAGGTTTTTAGATAAGATACTTCGTAAAAAGAATGAGTTATAATGCCTCTACACATGTTATGGTGATAATGTAAATTTCTTCAATTGTTTTCCTTGTTATTAGTCCCCTATCGGCATAACTGAAGGGACTATAGGTTAAAATTTCCTCTATGTCTGTCTGTCTGTCTAGCTGTCTGTCTTTCTTTCCCTCTGTCTGTCAGTCTGGGTTTCAGATCAAAAATTGATGATTTTTTTAATGGAATTATGGCCTTTTTAATTTATATTGGGAACCAGATTACACTTGCTACAGTGTAGTAGGGGACTAGTATTGCTTATGCAGTACTCTTTTAAAATGCTTGTATTCATGGCCTCTGAATGAAAATGTTTTTATTCCATGGAAAAACTTACACTTCTTTATTTCATTACAGATTCAAAAGTTTGCTACTGAAAAATTGGAGAAAAGAAGACAACAAGATTTACGAGACCAGGAGAGGATGGAAGAGCTGAGGAGACGAATGGAGGAACAAGCTGTAATTGACAAAGAGAGGTAATTAAAGTATTCCTGTGTACAAAGAGAGGTAATTAAAGTATTCCTGTGTACAAAGAGAGATAATTAAAGTATTCCTGTGTACAAAGAGAGGTAATCAAAATATTCCTGTATACAAAGAGAGGTAATCAAAGTATTCATGAGTACAAAGAGAGGTAATTAAAGTATTCCTGTGTGCAAAGAGAGGTAATCAAAGTATTCCTGTGTACAAAGAGAGGTAATTAAAGTATTCCTGTGTACAAGAGATATTCAAAATATTTCCCCATTGTAATCTGCATGAGTAATTTCGAACACCTGTCAAATTTTGTCATTTTCAATAATCATATTCATTCAAAAGACAATATCAATTTTTTATATAACTGTCTTAAAACCTATGAAGCTTTCTTTGATTGTCTATACACTTATCTTGAAATGTGACTTTTTTTCCAGAATAGAGTATCGTAAAGAGCAGTTGGACAAAAAGATAGAGGAAAGAAAGATAAAAGAAGAACAAAAAGCAGAAGAAGAGATAGAGAAAGAAAGAAGACTGGAAGCCCTGAGGGAACAGGTAGGCATGATAGATGAAAACATGCACCATGAGTTTTACTGAATAAGGAGAGGGTTTATATTGAATAAGGAGAGGGTTTATGTTCATTTTGATGAAGCATATATATGTGCATGCCACAGAAAAAGCAAACAAGTGCATTAATCTATGACATCCCATATCGAAAATGAATACAAAAATAATACAAGAAAAAAATACTAAAATAATACAAAAAAAGTATATTTTTAATGACCAAATTTGGAACCCTCTAAATCTTGGTTCCAATTTAGGTCAAAAATAATAGACTTTTTAAAAGCCAAACACAGAAAAATATATTTTTAATATACTTTATTTTTTCGAAATAATACAGAAATGATACACTTGACCTGTAAAAACGTATTGTTTTTGTACTTTTGTATTATTTCTCTATTTTCCTCTCCAAAGTATAAAAATAATACAGTCCATAGAAAAGTATAGAAAAAATACAGAATGTATTAATTTTGTATTAGCATATATTATTTTTGTATTTTTTCACCTTTAAGAATTAAAATACAAAAAAAATATAGAATATATTAATTTTGTATCATATATATTATTTTTGTATTTTTTCATCTGGAACAATTAAAAATACAAAAAAGATATAAAATATGAAAATAATACAGTACACGAAAAAGTATGAAAAAAATATAGAATGTATTAATTTTGTATTAATATGTATTGTTTTTGTATTTTTATCAGCATGAAGGATTGTATTTCAAAAATATCAAAAAAGTACAAGAATGATAGACAAAAAATACATTTAAATGCTTAAAATAATACAAAACAGAGTTTTAAAAACTACTAAAATGATCATGGGCAAAAATTGTTATTTGAAGAAAAGGGGTTGGAGATTGAGGTTCTTAATAGCATCTACTGATTGTTATTCAAAAATCTTTTATTTATTTGAAATATTTGTTAAATAACAATTTTAGTAACTCAGTCAGATTACCTTAAATGTACAAATAGCTAATTAAAAAGTAATTAATGTGGCTAGGCTACTGATTCAGCTACCAATTGTAGTCTTGATCTTTCTTTTTACATATAATCTGCTCTTCAATAGTCTTGATATTTTTCACAAGTTTAACTAATCCTGTTTTCTTTGTACTTTTACCAAATGTTTCGATCTCTCTGCTTTGCTGTTTCTTTTGTATGGAAAAGGTAGAGGAGTGTTTACTTTGTTGCAGAAGTCCATCTTCAAATCACACAACCTGTCATCTCATCTGACTTCATCACTTTGAAATATAGAACAGAATGATATAATAATAAAATTTAATGAACCATTACCTCAACAAAACACACATTTTAACATTCAAAATAATTCTATATAGATTTTGTTTAGTTCACACACCTGCAATACTTTCTTGAGAGGGATCTTCTCCTCCATGACTTGTCAGCTTTTCTTCAATGTTCGGCTGACTGAAATTAACAATAATTATAAATTGAAATTCCAAAAGATCCAGCGGAGTTCACCAAATTCCATACAATTGTACCATTGAAATTACTTTTCTTTAATCTGGGGTTTCTTAGGGGACAACCGATTGATTTGACAATCTGGAGAAAAGGGGGGGGGGGGCTGATTTATAAAATATTTTTAAAAAAATATTTGTAATAAACAATCTGTCCTTGAAAATGTTGAAAGAGTAAACAAAATGTGTGCCCCAATGTTATTTAAATAAACTGCCCCCCCCCCCCCCCGAACCCAACCTACCCCCCCCCCCCGAAAAAATTTGAGTTTATACAAATTACAGAATAGTTTTTGAAGGGAAAATAAATAATTCGTCTCTGGTTAACTTGAAAAAATTGGAATGAATTAGAACTAGGAAGCCAAAGGCTTGAAAATTACCCCCATCTTCCACCCCTCCCTCCCCAATCAGAATTTATCACAAAAACCCTTGTTCCCCACATGGCCAATAACCGTACTATTTTATCTTTCTACAATACTACAAAATGGGTAAAAAAGTCAGTCTTTGTTCCTCTATCTTTGTACTAAGTTATTATTTAAAAAACTGAAACTTTAATGTGCTAAAATATACATAATCTTACCGCAACTGTCGTTGTTTACACCAGAAAAGTCCGGATATGATGCCTTAAAAACGTCAGTCTCCTTATGTATTTGCTTTCCTTGGTTCATATATATGATCCTGTGTACCATGATTATGCTGAACTTCTGTTTTTCGATCCATTTTACTCGCGAGCAAATGAGAGTTTATTCAAAATCACCTCCAGCTTTCTCAACACGTCCCGGGAAGAATTTTCAAAATGGAGTGGGTGAAATATTGTTGACCAATCAGAGAACAGCACGGAAGAGTTTTAAAATCTGACCAATCATATTGTGTCATATATACGAAAATTACCGATGTTGAGATCGGAACAGTTAGAGAAAACATATTTACATGGTTTTAAATATCTTGAATCAATTGAATAAACCTAAAATTATGTTAGAAAAAACGATGTTCAATTTAATCATCAGAATCATTTTTTATTCCTTACGAAATTTACCGATTACGAAACATCGTTATTTCCGGTCATCATTTCCGCTGAGAGCAGCCATTTTTATATTCAAGTTGACCTGTGAAGTAGACCATAAAGTTCAAATATAATGATCAAAACGAGCGGGAGATACATAATATATAGCCTTTTTGACGGACAACTTAACTCATACATACGGTACCAGAGATTGAAATAATGTTTAACAACTATCCTTTACACCAATTTCACAACATTTTCTATATTATTTTACGAAATTCTTTCGTAATAATTTCTTATTTAATTTTTTTTTTTAAAAGCGGATAATTAAATAGTTCTATTCCATGTAATTGTAATACGTAATGAATTAAATATAATGTATACTAAATTGAGTTGTATAGTCAAGAAAACATCGTAGGTACTGTAATTAGTGGAACTCTCCATGTTGTTTGTTTTTGTTTTGGTTGGGATGTGTTTTCACGGGTAAATCATGTTATTTCTTTGAGTAGTATAACATGTACTCGTCTATTGTTAGCCTGCAGGTGGCCACCTGTGCTGTTGGCGATAGTTGTAAACACTCGGTTGTAAACACGCTGTAAATTTTTCAACACAAAAAGAAAGTCTGAAACTCTGAAACTTCAAAATTTACCGCGTGTTTACAAGTATCATGTACAGCACAGGTGTCCCCTCAGACGTATCTATCTCTTTCCAAATGACAATTTCACACCTAGTAAAGACATGTTTTAAAAATGAAATTGTTTAGTTAACAAATTTAAACTACTGAAGTTTTCTGTTCTAAATAGCAATTAAAAATGTAAATAGTATAAAAGCAACCTTTATAAATATTAATTCCAACAGACTTATTGCAAGGACATTCTGTAAATTTTCCTAAGTTCAAAGAAATACAAATTTCAGTAAAAGAAAACACTTAAAGTCCAAAATAAATATAAAAAAAATACATACTGACTGTATAGTATTTTTTGAAAAATTATTAAGTCCAAATTTAATACAAAAATAATACAAACTAACTGTATGTAATTTTCTGTAAAATTACTAAGTTCAATTTTAATACAAAAATAATACAGATTAACTGTATGTAATTTTCTGTAAAATTACTAAGTTCAATTTTAATACAGAAAAAATACACTTGAAAAAAACTAAGTCCACAAAAATACAAAAATGATATACTGAAAATAATCTAAGTCCCAAAAAATACAAAAATAATACCCTGTAAAAAATCAAAGTCAGATTTTAATACAAAAATAATCTACCTATTTGTTGGTGATACAAAAATAATATATTTTTTCTGTATTAATTTTAAACAATACGAAAATGATTGTATTAAAAATATATTAAAAATATACTTTAATGTATTATTTTTTGATATGGGATTTTGCAATATAAGTAAGCACTTAGATCCATGCTCAACTAAATAGAAACTAAAAGCAATGAAACTAATCTCAGTATCTCATCATAAATTAAATTTTTAATCAATAATTAAAAATTCTGATAAATCATTCATAAATCTATTTTTCAAATCCATACTAAATAATGTGTGGATCATGTGTTTTGTATTTACATATATTTTGAATATTACATGTAAGTATAAAATGACATATCAGTAAAAAGTTGAATTGATATCGTGGGATCAATTAATGTAAACAGTGGAATTTTTCTTTGTGTATCCTTTGCAATGAGAACTATTAACTGTGTTATACTGAAGGAAAGTTTAATGAGTGGAAACTCACTGTTTACTGGCATTAAACATTGCTAATTAAAAAGGACAAGGAGGTTGACTAGTAAATACTTTGATGATTGGTAGTCATCATAGTTTCCAGCTGTACAGTTCAATTGTATATAAACTAATCCAATCGATGTATTTCATATCCATGTAGGTCAGAGTGATTGCTGAAAGTGACCCAGTTAGAATGATGGCAGATACTAAGGTAAAAACATAAAGGTCTATATAAACTGTAAATTGCTCTTATTGTTTGTGCTTTTCTTCAGTCATAAATTGTAGGAGAAAAAAATGAAAAAAAAAAATAAAATACACATGACGTTCCTGCTGTTATTGTTCTTTGCAGGCATGGCAAGCTAAGAATGAGGAGGATGAAGAAGTAAACATCAATAAGCCATTGTTTGCTATCAACACATTTCATTCTAAACAGGTAGGTTACATAATTTTACAGATTTGCATATAATAATAAATTAATATGCTCCTTACCTTTTACAATATGCATAGTATGCAAATGAATATGTATATAGCTTAAAGGGTATTGAGAGATATGCAGAAACTGCATGGTTATATATATGTGTGCTATATTTTCTGAGGTGCAGTGAAACTTGTGTAAAGTTGTAACAGACCATCTTATGGTCAATGGCCAGTCGATACAATTTCATTAGATTAAAAAAGCATTGGGATTGGAGAATGATTTAAAAATAGAAAAATATTTTTGGTCTGAAACATATAATGAATGAAAAAAATGCCCGAAATCTTAATGGGAACTTTACGGCACTGAACAAAAATAACGAAATCTGTTTTTTTACAAGATATTTCCATGTTATTGAAAAATTATGCAAGTTCAATGAAATTTGTTTTGAGGGTTAGAAGGTGCTAGAATTTAAGATTTCAGGTAGATTGTTTAAAAAAAAAATAATGTAAAAACGGCCTATTAATGACTTCATATTCCATGTTATTTTTGAAGAGACAGGTTCTCAAAGAAAAATTCAAATCAATTAATGCACTTTTAATTTTTAATGCTTGGAATTGCCCAGTAATTATCACTTAATTTCTTCATAAGTACGGATTCTTTTAAATCAGATCACTAAGGATCCTCGGATGCGACTGGAGGCAAAATTGAGAGAAGCTGGCCTTCACGACTCCCCGTATGCCAGACAGGTGATGGCGGCCGTACCCCCACCACAACCTCCCAGGAGGGACATGGAGTCCACTGTCTTCAAGTACGACTGAAAAAGCTGGAAAAATCGACAGATTATTGCCAGAAGCTTTTAACATACAAAGCCAGTGGTCTTGATAGCTCCATAAAGTGGGAAAACAACTGATTCACATATATGACCACAATATACTGTTTCTGCTTCAGTAATTTATTTTTATTTGAATTTCTTGAATTCATGTCTTGCTTAAACATGTTTAATTGATAAACAAATTGAAACATAATTTATAAAAATGTTCAATTTTTTATCTTATGGAATTGACCATATGAATTTCTCAATGACATACTTTTTTATTTAATTCTATTAGATGATCTGGCATCTTGGATGATGCTTTAATAAAGAAGTTATATTGATGTATGCATGTACATGTAGTTGAACACGTTAATTGTTCTCCATATTCAACCACAAACCAGACGTATACCTTGTACAAGGCACAATCACATACATGTATTTGAAAAGTTACATAAGAAGTTATGGGTTTCTACAATGTCAAATTCTCTTGCCATTAAAGAACTTGAAACAATGTAGTTACATTTCATTGAGCCTTAAGCAATAAAACTTTCATGGGTAAAAAAATTATTTTAATGTTTATTAACTATACATGTCAAATTGAACCTGAAAATCTATAGACACAAGTAACCTTTGTTACTTTTCTTTCTCCATCTTTATTTTTTCAGGTCTTCCACTATTTTTTTTTCCTTTAGCGGGGGACACAAATTCCCTAATTAGATTGTTTAGTGAAATTGAAATATGAGGCACTACAAGAGTTTTGCCACATGTTTCATATTTGAATGTTCTACTGACTAGAGACAATAAGGAACAACTAAAACTAAACTGTATGACAAGCTAGATTACTTCTATTTTTCCATCTTTAACTTCCCTTATTTATGTAGTAATATATCGCTTTCATCTACATATGGTACTTATGTCTCCCAAATTATTTAATACACAAGCAGTGTCCTGAATACGATAATTTTTTAAAATAAGACAGGCTACTGACAGATAAGTTGATAATACAGGGATTTCAAAAATCTCATTTTAAGTCAGCATTACCTAAATTTTATCTGTGTTATAACGACCTTGTTAACAAAGTAAAGTAATCAAAATACGAGGGCTGTTCGAAAATTATTGAGACATTTACTTTTACTCCACAAAGGACAGAGATAAATTTATGAAAATTCGTCAACATTTTATAAAGAACAAATGAAACAAATGTGCAAAATTTCTAATTTATAGGATATTTAAATAAGGTTTGGTGAAGTTATAAACATGCATATGTCTATTGACCTGGAGCAGCAACGCTACGTCATTTTAACGTCACGTCAGCCGGAGATGTTTTCGCATGTGAAACGACCGGGAAGTGTTTATCCTTTCCTTCTATGTTATCACATATAACATTCCAAAAATCGAACTGTCTCTTTCTTAAACGATTCTTCAAAAACATAAAATAAAACGTGTGCTGTTGATATCCCAGTGTAAAATATAAATGAAGTGTCATATACAGGTTGACTTAGCCTCACGCAGTACCGATTTATGCAACGCGGGTCAACGTTATTTAGTCCGTAATAATCGATGGTCGTACGGAGCTTTTGTTTTTACTCTGGTTGAATTATTTGTAAGAAAAAAATACACACCAATGAAAAAACAAACCTTTAGACATGTTTTATGGCATTGTTATTGTTTTAGCAGGTTGTTTAGTCTGGACAAGAGTTCTCCACAGCGCGACACAAAATTTTAGGTATGCTTGCTGCGCCGCCTTGACGTCAAAATCCAGTTTGTCGTCGTTGTCAGATTTCTATACCGTGCTGAAATTTTTTAATGGTCTCCGTATTTCTGATCGAAATTCTAACAAATTTGCACAAAATGAAGACAAAATTAAATTGAAAAATTATATACATAATTTGAATTATCTTCGCTCTTACTATGGGTCCACCGGGAGTTTTAACGTTGGTGTTGCATATTTTCAATAACTGATTTCGTGACTGCGCCGGGTACCTCTACCAGTGACACATTAATATACCATTAAAAAGAAGAAATAAAATGTTTGTAATATATTTCTTGCTTTTATTAATTCTAAGTGTCTGTCAAACATATATGCAAATTTTTACCGAAAGACGTTCATTAGAAAGAGGAATATCCACAATGTCTCGATAATTTCCGAACAGCCCTCGTACATGACATTCCAAGGATTATTTCAAATTTTAGTGATAGTTATAGATCTACTTGGTAAATATCTACCTTTAAGTATATGGACAAGCAGATATTCAATTGTAATCACTATTTTTCGTGCTAATGACTGTGATATACCCAAGCCAATGGCAGAGAATAATATATGAGTCGATGGTAGAGAGTGCCAATATTTTCGTTGATAGACTTCGTAATATGTTACCGAAATGTTTGTGGCATGTATGCATTGATATTTTCTGGCAGACTTGCAAATTATCGCAAGGAAAAGTAAAAGTACTGACAAAATTAGTATCATTTATATGTAGATATTTGCACCATATGATTGGGTCACTTGATGACTTATGACCTTTGGAAGAATCCAAACAAAAATGATATGTTTGCTCTCTGTGTGCTTTTGCAACAAAGATATACCACAGAAGTATATAAACATAATTTAGTTTATGAACATTTTAAAAAAAAAAGATTGAATAAACGTATAGATTAATCTTTTGTCCTCTTTGTGCAAGATGGGATATTATATAGGGTAATATGAGCTTAATTTGTAGAATAGTGAAATACAGGTTGAAATGAAATTGAAATAGAATCCTTCGTTCCCTTTAAAAAATTAAATAGTTTTTAGTGGCTTTTTTGACACATGGACATTTCTACGCCAACAGATAGAGAGGTTCTTAGTAATCTTAAATCTAATAAAAATGATGATCTGAAATATTGTCCCGTAAATGTTCAACCAAGCCCCTATCCCTTCTCATCAAAATATAAACTTGTGAAGGAGAAACTTCAGTTGCTTGTTTTATAAAATGTTCAAGAAGTGGTGCAAATAAAATTTTGATCCTTAGAATACTCAAAAGAACTTTTCGACAATGTAAAATCTCAAAACTTTTCAAACATCAATACCATCAAAACATGTGACATTTCTACGCTCTATACGACCAATCCTAACGCCAAGCTATTGTAAATTTATGAAACATCGTCGATATATCTAAATGTTGAGTTAAAGACCACAAAAAGAATTTTATTCTTCTCAGAAAGGAGTTATTGAATATATACTGCTTCATATGAATATAAAACAGGTAAACTTTCAAAGGGACACATTTAGTTTCCATCGGAGTTCCTGTTGCCGTTCAGGGGTTTTCTCCCTTATGCAACTTGTGGGTCTCCCAAGTCTGTATATTGGACAAAAGAACTCTAAGTCAGGATTAAAATGTATAAAAATTTATTATTGGTTGTTGTATTTAATTTGCATAATCTATTTGAATGATTATCCCTATTTCTTGCTCCCGTAGAAATATTATTTCTCTCCCAATTAGAAATGGGAATAAAATATTCTCAAATGGGAGAATTAAGTTTTAGGGAATTATAAATAAATTTACAAACGTATAAAAGTATTTCCCAAAATACTGGGAGTCCCTTCACAATACAATTGATAGTTATGGGAGAGTTATTTCACCTCCCAATAATTTTCTCCCACAGAACAATTCAATATAATTATTAAAAGTAAAAATAAAATATTATCCCAAAATTCATCAGCTCCCATAAATGAATTATTTTTCAATATGAGTTATCCATTGACTTTCACTCCCAGATATTCTGGAGATGTGAGCTGTAAAAGTCAACTTACAAACTGACTAGTCGATCGATCTGCGCTGGCTTATATAGGCATCGGGCTCGATTGTCTTGACGTCACGACAAAGTGAAAATACCCGCCATCTTTGTCATAGCAAAGAGGCTTTGATATGCTGGTAAATATACAATGGATGATAAAATAAAACATACAATTAATTAAACATATTATTCGTCGTTTTATAGTCCAATATGTTACAGGGAGTATTGTTTAACTTATACTATATTTCCACAGAAGTGTTTCCCAAACTGAAAGTAAAGGGAATAAATAGGGAACCGTAACACGGCCCCCTCCCATGTGAAGAACATTCGTCCTCGAATGGTTTTATACTTCAGTTCAGGAAATTAAAAGGTGGGTACAAGTTTTATGTTTCCCTAAGTTGTTGGCACAAAAACGACTTACATTAAAAATGCATACTATAATTGACAATAAATTGATAAGTATATGTACATCATAACATTCAACAGTTAACAAGATATTTGATCAAACAGATAAGTTATCAATATATGAAACATTCACAACAATAGCATCACAGAATAATACAAGTATTAGATATGTACATAAATATAATACAGAAGTTAATGTCCTCATCATATGTAATATCACTTCCTTCACAAACTTCTCGGCATTGTCTATTTCAGAATATTGGAACAAACTATCCATAGGAGGCTTTGTACGTCAGAGTTTGGTTTTTCTTCTTATATGGTATACATTCCTGGATTCATCTAAGGATGGCTTTATCCGTAAGAAATATTTAGCGTGGGAAATATATATTTGTGTAGTACAAATATCCCATTGATAATTTGATGGAGGGAGTCTATGCATTAGATTCAAACCACATGGGCTTATTTGTTCCCAGATATGGTTTTAATCTATTATGGTGGATAATATCCCCCTTATGTTTTGCATTTTTCCCTATTCTGTAAAGAACATCATTTATTCTTTGTAAAACAATGTATGGTCCCTTCCATTTAAGGGATAACTTTTTATGGAGTCCCATATTTTGATTTGGGAAAAAGACCCATACAGCATCTCCTGGGTCATATTGATTTTGGTGAATTTTTGCATTGTAATCCCATAACATAGCATCAAAAGATATGCTTTGTTTATTTCGGGCAAATTCATGTATTTTATTTAATTTTTCTGATAGATTTTGGGCATATTCAGAACTTAATTTTGATTCATATTTTTCAGGATCAACTCGACCAAGCACTAAATCTACTGGGAGTGTGACCGATCGCCCAAACACCATTTCACATGGGCTTATCCCTGTGGCTTCATGGGAAGATGATCGATATGCCAACATGAGTAAGGGTATCAGGTCATCCCAATCTTTTTGATTTTTGCTAACAAATGCTGAAAGCATATTTTCAATTGTTCTATTTGCCCTTTCTATCATCCCATCAGACTGAGGTCTGTAGGGAGTGGTACGGGTTTTATCTATAGCCAGTATTTTACACATTTCTTTGAAAACATCAGATTCAAATGTTTGTCCTTGATCTGAGTGAATTTGCATTGGGACTCCAAAAATGGAGACCACATGATTGATTAACTTCTGAGCTACTGTAACTGATTTCTTATTTCTAATAGGGATAGCATCAACCCATTTGGTGAAGTAGTCTCCCACAACTAGAAGATAAGAATTTTTCCTGTGAGTCATTGGTAAAGGACCTAATATATCCACTGCCCATCCTTCCATTGGAGCACCAACCAGGTATTTTTGTAACTGGGCCTTTGGGATTTTATTAGGAGATTTTCTAGCTGTGCATTTGTCACAGCTTTTACAAAAATGCTTTATATCTTGGGACATTTTGTGCCAGAAATATTTATCTTGGGCCTTTGATAGAGTTTTATTGAAACCCAAATGTCCGCCCGTTACATTACAATGTATTTCTTTCATAACTTTCCCAATGATAAATTTTTGGAGAACAGTTTGAAATTTTGGTTGCACACTTTCCCATTTATGATACAATATTTCATCTATATAATGAAAAGAATCAAATCTTGCCCGGTAATATTTACATGTTTCACTCATATGGGATATGTCTTCCCAGAGAGGTTTCTGTTTAGCTTTGACCCATTTTATTACTTCCCTTAGATCTGGGTCTTTACTTTGTAAAACTTTTATACTATTTTCTGGTTCTTCATTTCCCAGATGTATTTTAGTTTGTTCAAGTTGTGTAGGGCTTATCCCAGAGGGAGTTCCCTTAGACCTTGTGGTAACAGCACAGTTTTCAGGTACACCACTATTAATGTTGGGACTATCACTTACATCATTATGTTCAGTTTCAGATATTATATCCCTTTCTACTTGGCATTGGTTTTCTTTGGGAGTTTCATTTAGCAAATGTTGATTGAAAGAAAATTTGTCTTCTGCCTTACTGCGATGCTTACAGTCTAGATCTCCCTTGAGACAAGGTCTGCGGGACAAAGCGTCCGCATTATTATGAGTGCGACCTGCTCGATATTCAATTTTGAAATTGTATGAAGACAAAAATTCAAACCAACGTGCTATTTGTCCCTCTGGATTTTTGAAATTCAACAACCAAGTTAGGGACCCATGATCTGTTCTTACTTTGAATGTTTTCCCATATAAATAGTGGTGAAAGTGCTTTATTGAATTCACTATAGCTAATAGCTCCCTTCTAGTGATGCAATAGCGGCGTTCCGCTGCACTAAATGTCTTACTGTAATAACTTATGACTTTCTCTACTCCCCCCTGCTCTTGGGAAAGAACGGCTCCCAAACCTATGTTAGAGGCATCTGTATCTAAAGTAAATAAGCCTTCTTCATTAGGATAGGAAAGAATGGGAGAACTAGTTAATGCTCGCCTTAGCTTGTCAAATGCTACACGGCAATCATTATCCCATACAAACTTCTTATTTGCTTCTGTAAGTTTATGTAATGGCCTAGCCATATCTGAGAACTTGTATATAAATTTTCTATAGTATGAACAAAGACCTAAGAAGCTTCTAACTTCCTTAACATTTCTAGGGAGGGGCCAATTGTTGACTGAGTCAATCTTTGAGGGATCAGTGGCTATCCCATTTTCACTCACAATATGTCCCAGAAAGGGAACTTCTTTTTGCAAGAGAACACATTTCTTTCGGTTCATTTTTAAATTAGCCTCCCTCAGTCGCCCAAAAACTTGTCTTAAATTGTCAATATGTTCTTCAATAGTTTTAGACAATATTATTATGTCATCTAAATAAACAAGACATATTTTCCATGAAAGATTTGATAAGACCCTTTCCATTAGTCTTTCAAAAGTTGCTCCCGCATTGCATAAACCAAATGGCATGTTTAAAAACTGCCAATGTCCTCCCCCTGGTATAGAAAAAGCTGTTTTGGGTTTATCTTCAGGTGACATTTTAACCTGCCAATACCCACTATTAAGATCTATGGTAGAAAACAATTTTGAACCTGACAAGGCATCTAATGTTGTATCAATTCTTGGAATGGGATAACTATGCTTAATAGTGACATCATTTAACTTTGTATAGTCTATACAGAACCGGATTGTCCCATCCTTTTTCTTAACAAGGACTATGGGAGAACTCCATGGACTGTCTGATGTTTCTATTACCCCCCTATCTAACATATCATTTATTTCCTTCTTAGCTTCAGTCATTTTAGCTAAAGGAATACGTCTAGGAGGTTGCTTAATCAGGAGTGCATTTCCCGTATTTATTCTATGCTCTATTAAATCTGTTGAACCCATATCGGATGATGAAAGGGAGAAACTTGTTTCAAATTCCCTTAAAAGATTCGCTAGTCTCTGTTTCTCTTCAGAGCTAATACTAGGATGAACCCTATCTAAAATTTGTTGTAAATGATCGGGCATATGGGAGTCATTCCCATTACAATAAGCCCTTACATTTTTCACAACTTCCCCATTCTCAATATCTTCAACCCTTTCTATTGAGGCTACTACACTACCCTTGTGTAATTTTAAACTTTTGTCACCTAAATTCAAATAACATACTGGGACATTTTCCCCATCTACTTCTACCAAAGTTTTTGAAATCAATACTTCATGTTTTCCCATAAATTTTTCTGAGGGTTCCACTATGGCAGTACCCCGCTGAAAATTGGGACTTTCTATCCTAGCAGGGGCAATAAATTCACGATTTGGGGGAATCACTAAATCTTCTGTCAAACGAACCCTACAAGAATCAACTACACTATTTTCATCACTAAAACAAGGGATTTCTTCTCCCTGAATTTCAATTCTCATTTTCTTCAAACAAATCTTACACGAAAACTTTTTCATAAAATCAACTCCCAAAATACATTTGTTTTCAATATTTGCAATGATAACTGTGTGGGAAACATCAATATCTCTAAGGCTAAATTTAAGGAGACACTCTCCCACAACTGGGATGTCATCTCCATTTGCTGATCTTAATTTCACACTACAAGGTTTAACACTTGATTTTTCTACTAATTGTATCTTATCAAACAGTTTGGGGCTTGTAATAGTCACACTTGATCTGGTATCTACCAATATTGTTGTTTGAATATTTTCTATTTTCCCAGCTATAAAAATTCCCTCATTTCCTTGAACATCTCCCACTAAAATACTTTTGGGACTTTGTTCATTTTGAGGTTTACTCCCTATCTCTAAATTCTGATTTTTCCTAGTCTTATTTTATACCGGATCATCCCCTGTACAATTACTTAATGGTTTATTCTGGGGCTTGTTCCCAACTCTCGCCGATTTCTGCCCCATGAATTCGACGTTTGATGGTTTCCCTGTCTTTGAAAACCAAAGTCATTTCTATGAGGGGATGGCTTCTGGGAGTATTGATTCCCCTGATTAGTTCTATTTCCATAACTATTTCTTGACCCATATTTGTCATGTTCCCAGTTGTTGAACTGTCTGGGCCTATTGTTTGAAAATCTGTTTTCCCGTGATCTCCCATAATTTTGGGACTTCCGATCAGAATTTTTCAAACCTGACAAAGAGTCTTTTATGTCTTTTAGCAAAGAAATAATTAAATCTTCATTTTTATTGTTGGAAGGGTTTTGAGAGTCTATGTTTGAAGTTACAGCATTTACTGGCTTTCCTCTGTGGGCATCTGCCATTTTATGCGTCTCTAATCTAATTGCTAAAATTTCAGCCTCCCCAATATCTTTAGGCCTTGCCTCCTGAATTCTAAGGCGCATATCTGGGTCTGGGAGAGCATCTATAAAATGATCTAGAGCTAAAATGTTTGTAAGGTTAGGATCAGCAGTCGGGTAGGATTGTCTGATTAATTTCTTAATTGACTGAGCTAATTTTGATAGGGACTCATTTTCTCCCTTAATCTTATTTTTCAGTCTTGCCCGATACATCTCTGACCTTTCCACTGATCCAAAACGCATACTGAGAACTTAACAAGGGAGTCAAAATCCCTAATCTGAGCTTCATTAAGCTCCCCTAGAATTGCCCTAGCATTCCCAGTTAAACTACTGGCGAGATACAAAGACTTGGTTCTGTAATCCCAACCATGTAACTCTACCAAAACTTGAAATTGAGCTAAGTAATCTTCAAAATCTTCTACCCCATCATATGTTTGTGGTTTGATTGAGACTGTTGGTTTCACTTGACTGGGAGAATGTAGGCTATTGTCATTTCTGTTCACCCTTGAATTTGGGGACATTGGGTTTCTGAAAGATTCAAATCTCTCCCTGGCAACCCCTAGAAATGGTGATTGACTGGGACTTCTAGAATGATTCCCATATTTATGTAGACCAATAGCTTTCCCATGATTTTCAAGCGATGATAACCTCCCTTGTAATTGATGGGACTCTTGTCTCATTTGTGATAATTGTTCTTCAAAATTTTGCTTCATGCAAAGAACCTCCCTATTTATATTTTCAACTGCTTTTAACAATAGTTCGTTTATATTTTCAGAACCCTTGGGAGCTGATGTTTGTTTTGGTGAAGATTCATTTTGAAAGAGTTCTTCATGGGATGAATTTTCTACTTCTGCTTGGGATCTTGGATCAAAAATAATCTCTCCCGAATCATCTAAATGACTATCCTCCCGTGACATTTTTAAGAATTTCTTTTGGGAGTATTATTTTACTTTATGATGTAAAAAAATTATTTGTATAATTATTGTCTTTTGTCCAATCAGATAAATGGGAATAAAAATTGAAGAATCCCACTTCTGACACCAATGTTGCCGTTCAGGGGTTTTCTCCCTTATGTAACTTGTGGGTCTCCCAAGTCTGTATATTGGACAAAAGAACTCTAAGTCAGGATTAAAATGTATAAAAATTTATTATTGGTTGTTGTATTTAATTTGCATAATCTATTTGAATGATTATCCCTATTTCTTGCTCCCGTAGAAATATTATTTCTCTCCCAATTAGAAATGGGAATAAAATATTCTCAAATGGGAGAATTAAGTTTTAGGGAATTATAAATAAATTTACAAACGTATAAAAGTATTTCCCAAAATACTGGGAGTCCCATCACAATACAATTGATAGTTATGGGAGAGTTATTTCACCTCCCAATAATTTTCTCCCACAGAACAATTCAATATAATTATTAAAAGTAAAAATAAAATATTATCCCAAAATTCATCAGCTCCCATAAATGAATTATTTTTCAATATGAGTTATCCATTGACTTTCACTCCCAGATATTCTGGAGATGTGAGCTGTAAAAGTCAACTTACAAACTGACTAGTCGATCGATCTGCGCTGGCTTATATAGGAATCGGGCTCGATTGTCTTGACGTCACGACAAAGTGAAAATACCCGCCATCTTTGTCATAGCAAAGAGGCTTTGATATGCTGCCATGCCGATCGGATCGACGAAAGGAATCACGCACCCTAGAGCGCGGATAATTACTGTTTGGTACATTTGGGACTTGTGCTGATGAACTTCGTAAACATAAACAAAAGCAATCGTAAACAGTTAGAGCGTGACTTGGGAATGTAAGATGTCGAGGAATTTCGGGGTAACGCTAATTACCGACCTCGTCCCAATGATGAACATGGTAAATATACATTGGATGATAAAATAAAACATACAATTATTTAAACATATTATTCGTCGTTTTATAGTCCAATATGTTACAGGGAGTATTGTTTAACTTGTATTGTGTTTCCACAGAAGTGTTTCACAAAGTAAAGGGAATAAATAGGGAACCGTAACATTCCTACAGATTGTTGGAGGACCTATAGTATCTCCAAAGACTCGTATTGTCAATGAGGATCTCCAGCATCTTTTTGATATCTACTCAGACTCTACTTGTATGTTGAATCTGAATGATTTTGAGGTCACCTGAGTCACTCAGGTGACCTATTGCTATCACTTTTCGTCCGTCGTCGTGCGTCGTCCGTCGGTCGTAAACTTTTGAACATTTTCAGCTTCTTCTCTGGAACCAGTGAACCAATTTCAACCAAATTTGGCATATAGCATCTATGGGTAAAGGGGAACAAAAATTGTGAAATTCGTGGCCCCTGCCCCCCTGGGGCCTGAGGGGTGGGGCCAAAACCATTAAAATTAATGCAATCTTTAAAAATCTTCTTCTTTACTCCTGGACATCAAGCAGTCAAACTGTTGGCATGATTGTAATAAGCATTGAGCCCTCTACCAAAATTGTGAAATTCATGGCCCCAGGGTCAGGGGTTCTGGTGCTAGGGCGGGGCTATATAGATCATATAGTGAAAGTGCATTATTTCTTTGAAAATCTTCTTCTCTACTCCTGGGTATTATTGAAACAAATTGAATACATAGTTATGATGAGCAAGGGTGACTCTACCAAAATTGTGAAATTCATGGCCCCAGGGTCAGGGGTTCTGGTGTTAGGGCGGGGCTATATAGATCATATAGTGAAAGTGCATTATTTCTTTGAAAATCTTCTTCTCTACTCCTGGGTATTATTGAAACAAATTGAATACATAGTTATGATAAGCAAGGGTGACTCTACCAAAATTGTGAAATTCATAGCCCAAGGGTCAGGGGTTCTGGTGTTAGGGCGGGGCTATATAGATCATATAGTGAAAGTGCATTATTTCTTTGAAAATCTTCTTCTGTACTCCTGGGTATTATTGAAACAAATTGAATACATAGTTATGATAAGCAAGGGTGACTCTACCAAAATTGTGAAATTCATGGCCCCAGGGTCAGGGGTTCTGGTGCTAGGGCGGGGCTATATAGATCATATAGTGTAAATGCATTATTTCTTTAAAAAATCTTCTTCTCTACTCCTGGGTATTATTGAAACAAATTGAATACATAGTTATGATAAGCAAGGGTGACTCTACCAAAATTGTGAAATTCATGGCCCCAGAGTCAGGGGTTCTGGTGCTAGGGCGGGGCTATATAGATCATATAGTGTAAATGCATTATTTCTTAAAAATCTTCTTCTGTACTCCTGGGTATTATTGAAACAAATTGAATACATAGTTATGATAAGCAAGGGTGACTCTACCAAAATTTTGAAATTCATGACCCCAGGGTCAGGGGTTCTGGTGCTAGGGCGGGGCTATATAGATCATATAGTGAAAGTGCCTTATTTCTTTGAAAATCTTCTTCTCTTCTCCTGGATATTATTTAAACAAATACATGGTTATGATAAGCAAGGATGCCTCTTCCAAAATTGTGAATTTCATGACCCCTGGATCAGAGGTTCTGATATTAGGGCGGGGCTCTATTTATTATATAGTGAAAATGCATTAATGCTTTAAAAATCTTCTCTGCACCTGGGCATATCAGAGGCAAAAATAGTAAAAGTTTAATAAGGAAGGGTATTTTTACCAGATTTTTGAACATCAGAACCATTTGATCAAGTGTTCTGATCCAGGCCAGGGCTCTGTTAATTTGTATTCTATTGAGAGGAGTTATTCCCCTTTGCCATTTACTTATGTTAATTAATCACTGTAAATAATGTACTTGAGAGGTTAATAGAATAAGAGAATTATGCAAGAATTTTTATTGTAAAATACAAAAAGTACTTACCTTGAGAGGTTAATAGAATAAGAGAATTATGCAAGAATTTTTATTGTAAAATACAAAAAGTACTTTCATAATTTTAATGATCAGGTAGACTTGTAAGTAACAGATAAATAAAAATGAGACAAAAATAACTTGTCTTATTAAATGTTCATCAAAGACCAAGAGAGGCCAATGTAAGAGATTTCAACAAGGAATTAAAAGAGTACAGAAGCACTGATTATAAGTTTGTTTATATACTGTCTGGTGAGAGTGATAAATGGGGAACAGATTAGAACCTAATTTATGTACTGTTAATGAACACTAGACTAATTATTTTGTTGATCCTGATCACCCTATTTTTCTTGCTTTTGGGCAACAAAGATTCACCTTTCAGTTCATTTTATACTCTATGGATCCTCTAAATTGTTGTATTATACTCAGGTGACCGTTAAGGCCCTTGGGCCTCTTGTTTTAACAAATGATATAGATGACCTATCACAAGATATGAAAATTTTTATTGAGGAAGCTGTTGTTCATGATGTCAAAAAGCCTGCTCTTTAATTACTTTGAATCATATGTCGATTAGATATATCCCAGTGAACTAGAAATAAAGACACAACAGAGTCTGCCTCATCTGTTTCATATTTGGATGTTTTACTGGTTATAGACGAGAAAGGCAAACAAATAATTTATGACAAACAAGATGACTTCAGCTTTTCCATTGTCAATTTCAACATCACCTGCATATAGTTCTTATGTCTCCCCACTTATTCGATACGCTAGGTCATGCTCTAAATACGATCATTTATTAAACCGAGAATAAGTTGATGTTGCAATGATTTCAACAACTTAAAGTAAGATTTTCGAGAATACTGCGGCCGTTGTTATTACCACCTTTGTGAATACAACCTTTTATTGGGTCGTATTAGGCTATTGTATTTATACTAAATTTGACTATTGAGTACTTCGTCAACCTGATTAATACATGAGGCTCACGGCAGGTGTGGCTAGTGGACAGAGGGTTGCATATTCCTCGTAGGCACCTGATCCCACCTCTGGTGTTTCGAAGGATATGGATCCGTGTTTTTGCCCTACCCTGTTTACGATTCGAATCTATGAGATTGATCACCATATATTCGGTTTTCTCAGCTTTTACACTTTAAACATGGGGATTTTACGAGTATTCAAAATAAAAATAAAAACTGTCTAACAAAATGTTCAGATGCTTTTATTGACAACTACACAGCGTAAGACGTTGAGTAAAATAATAAAGATTGTGCAATTATGGATCCTCCTAACACAATCTAACACGATATTCTCTGTTGAACTTTCTCAGTGGTGTTACAAAAATTGTATTCCATCTTACGCTGTTGTCATTTCCACTACAAACATCATATTTCTGCATCTACAATACAATACCACAGAGTTTGTATTCTCTGCAGGTACAGCATTGAGGTAACTCCAGGGTTTCCAGTTCAAATCTATGATAGTCATCACAGAATACCCAGACATTGAAGTAACGGTGTCGATCAGGCAAACAAGCACTTGTTACGCCTCTACCATTCGAGCAACCCCTGTGAGATGTTAATAAAAGTGCATAAAATATAAGAAAAATGGAAAACAAAAGTACAGAAATATTAATAATATTACTACATCATGTACTTACAGTTTCCTGCCACAGTCAGCGTATGTTATACATTGCCGGTGTGGAAATACAACATAACATGATCTCCTGTGTTTAATAATCTTTGTAACGTACTTGAATTTGTGTGGGCAAAGATTTGTCAGTCCAATATTTGAAACTGTGCTGAAAGATTTTCATACACTTTCAGTTACTGAATGCATTGTAAAGTATTATAATACAAAGTAACATCAAGGAAATTAGTCTGCATATTAACCTTGGTTCGCAGTCGCACGAAGTTTGATCAAGAAACTTCTTTATTCCTGGTCTGCACTTTAAAGCACGAAGAATTTTTCTCCTGAAATACAATAAAATCCAAACTTTAAAATGTCCTTTAAAGGAACTATTATAGACAAATAATCAGCATAAATTATCAGGTTTTAATACATATCAAATCCTTTGCTATTCAAAGAAAAAATACCAAACATAAGTTTTTAGCTAGTAGCTAGTATTTGTTCAAAAATTCAAAATTGTCAATTCAAAAATTGTTTTAGAAGAGGTGTACAGCATCAATAGAATTATAAAGGTCACACAAAGGTCTTTCAAATTCTAAACTTTTTACATTTACAGGGATTAAGAAAATAAAGTTTAAAAAAAACTACGTTGCGTATGTCTATTATCA